AGGCTGATCTGGACAGGCTCAGAAAATGGGTGGAAGAGAACCTGATGGTATTTAACACCAGAAAATGCAAGGTTCTCTACCCTGGGAAGAAAAACCTGCAGTATCCTTGTAGACTCGGCAGTGCTACGCTGGCCAGCACTACGGGCAAAAGGGACTTGAGGGTCATGATTGACCACAAGACAAACATGAGCCTTCAATGTGATGCTGCAGCTAGTAACACGAGCAAAACTCTGGCTTGCATCCATAGATGCTTCTCAAGTAAATCCCAGGACATCATTCTCCCGTTGTACTCAGCCTTGGTGAGGCCGCAGCTGGAGTACTGCGTCCAGTTTTGGGTTCCACAATTCAAAAAGGAAGTGGAGAAGCTTGAGAGAATGCAGAGAAGAGCCACATGCATGATCAAGGGTCAGGAAAACAGACCTTATGTTGAGAGACTGAGAGCCATGGGACTCTTCAGCCTGGAAAAGCACAGGCTCAGGGGTGATCTGGTGGCCACGTATAAGTTTATCAGCGGTGCTCACCAGTATCTGGGGGAATGTTTGTTCACCAGAGTGCCCCAAGGGATGAGAAGGTCGAATGGTCACAAACTCCACCATGACCATTTCAGGCTGGACATAAGGAAGAACTTCTTTACTGTCTGAGCCCCCAAGGTCTGGAATGGACTGCTGCCAGAGGTGGGTCAAGCACCTACTTCGAACGCCTTCAAGAGACAGTTGGATGTTTATCTTGCTGAGATCCAATGATCCCTGCTGACTTCCTGCCCCTGGGGCAGGGGGCTGGACTCAATTATCTTCTGAGGTCCCTTCCAGCCCTAATGTCTATGAAATCTATGAAATTCTTAACTGGGGTGGGCAATTATTTTGGTTAGAGAACCAATTAGGGAATTTTAATGAGCTGCATCAGCATCCTCCACCCCACTCCCCCTCCCTTGCCACAGCTTACCAAAACTATCTAAGTGGCCCTAGAGCACAGCCAGGTGGCTGTAATGGGGCTGCAAGTGGGTGGGGAGCAGCATCCAGGAACAGGATAGGCAGTTGGAGCTAGGGATTTGGACTGTGGGACAGTGACAGAGCAGGGTTGGGGCCCAGAGCAGAACCGCGATCTGCGAACCGGCACCTGCTGCAGGGACATTCAGGCAGTAGATTACAGCTCTATCCCAGGCCCTGTGTTGTCACCCCTTCATGATCCTGATTCAGATCCCTAGCCCTGCCTGCCCCTCTTGCGCTCAGATGCAGCTCCCTGCCCACCCACAGCCCATCCTATCCGCCTGGCCATGCACCCTGGCCGCACAGGTCCTGCTTCCAGCAGGGAGTATGAGACAGACAGGCAGCTGGGCTGGGTCCAGCAGTGGCAGCCAAAAGAAGCCACTGCTGGGGCTACTGGGAAATGGAGTCTGGCTGCCCTGCTACAGCACCGTTGTGCATCCAGGGGTGGTGGGACTGGCCACTGGGATGAAGTTAAATATGTTTTTGAATGCAAGACATTTTTTTGGTCAGGTCTCTGATCACAGGAAGCCAAGCACAGCATAGTGAAACATAGTGCAGAGGAGGGGCTGGGTAAGTTATAATGTACCATAAACACAGTATCAGTGTTTAGCCTTTGGTTCTTAGTGTCCAACCAGTTGATGAATTTTTGTTCCCAAGTTTACCCTTTAAAGGTGTCAGGTAGATTTCCTTTGACTGTAATTTATACAACCCCTGATTTCTTTCCAGGCAAGGAAGGTGAATTTGACCCTCTTCCCTTTTGATAGGTCTTGATCTCGGACTAATTACTTTTTTCCTGCTAATTGTGTACCTCTGGGAATTCCTCTCACCCCCACCCCTCTGCTGTGGTTCACTATGCTATGACTGGCTTTCAGTGATCCGAAACTTGACAAAGAATGTCTTGCATTTGAAAGCTTGTCTACCTTTACTTCAGGTACATAGTTGGCCCAATAAAAGATACCATCCTAATAAATTCATTTGTGCACTGCTACCTACTCATTCATTATTGCTCTTGGTTCTGTTTAACGGCAGTTCTTCCAAGCATGACGTTAAATAAAGTGTATTTTTTAACTTTTTGGTGTACTCTCAAAACTTTCACAAGCTTTTCCCCCTCAACCAAAAGGATTAGTTTTTTTAAAATGGAAGCTGAGCTTATTATGTATTCTCACGTCTTCAGTAGCTAGAAGCTTAAGGGGAAAAATACCCACCTTCACATGTATAACAACCCACATTGTTATTTTAAATGGTAAAATCTCTGATATCTTTTTGTCCTGAATCTGAAGGCCACACATGACTTTAAGTCACTATTGTGTTGAACACTGAATACCAAATGTCTATATTGAGAGGCCATTTAATATCTCATTTACTTTTTTCCCCCTTCCTTATTCTCTTGTGTTAGAGAAGGGTAATGTCAGAGCAGGGTTTGTTTGTTTGTTTTTAAGTGTGCCTATGAAGTTTGTGTAACCAAAATGTTTCTATTGCACTTCTACTTTTCTGGACCTTTTCAAAAACAATTTTGAATTGCTTTCAAGGTTGGCTCCAGAAGCAGATCAAAAATTTACTGCAATTGAGAAATATATAAAACCCACCTAGGGATAAGTGACTGTTGCTAATCCAGGTATAGTTGTGAAATATTGTAGGTTACCTTGACTTCCAGTGTCTTTGGTTTAAAAAAAAAAGAAAAAAAAGCTGTATTGGTACACTTGCCAAATCAACAGTAAACACTTTGTAGTCGTCACATCTTCTACTGGTATCTCTCTATAGGCAACCCCCACTTGATGCGGCTTTACTTAGTGCTAGTTCACTATAGCAGTCATTTAAAATTAATACCTGATTTCACTTAGCAAAACTGGCTCAGCGCTACAGCGCTCAGCAAAGCAGCAGTGGCAAGAAGTGGTGATTGGCTGCAAGTAGGTCGGCAGGAATGAGCACAAGAACCTGCACTGGTGCTGCAGGGCCAAGACCAGCAGGGACCCAAGGTGGCACAGCAGGAGCAGGGGTCTGGGCTGGCAGTGCTGGAGCAGCTTGTGGACAGGGGAGAAGCAGCAGCAGGTGGGAGCAGGCATAAGTGCAGGGCCTCCACTAGCGCACAGGGCCAGTGGGGACCCAGGGTGGAGAGGCAGAAGCATGGGGCTAGCATGCGGTGCCAGAGAGGCCAGCAGCAGGCAAAGCAGTGGGAAGAGGCGGCTGTGGTGAGAACCTGCAGCAAGAAGTGGTGGTAACCAATTATCTCTATTCCCATTAATTCCTATGGGGAAATCGGTTTCGCTTAACATGGTTTCACTTAACGCTTGCTTTTTCCCAGAACCAATTAAAAGCATTAAACGGGGTTTGCCTGTACTCCTGTTTAAGGTACAAGTGTTTCAGCATGTCCCTTAGTGTGCTTCTAGACTATAGCTTAGGTTTGTTACTGCCACTGTCAACACACTCAGCTGAGACTCTTGTGCCACGGAGATATACCCTAATCCATCCTATTCCACTCTAGCCCAGATGCATTTATTTCATTGCTTTTACTCAGCCAAACCCATTTGGTCACAGCCCACAACACCTTGTTTCAGGTTTCTTTGTAACTAAGACAGTAAGATAGAAAAAAGGTTTATCTGGATTCTACTAATTATTTGGTACCAAACTCTCATCATGGTATAGTCAAGGCATAGATCAAATGAGGTTGCTCTACTGCAACAAATCAGTTGGAATCCAGCTGGAAATAGGTACTGTAAGAGACGCAGTTCTAGAGCTTCAGGTTTGAGTTCCCAGTTGTATGCTTCATATGTCCAACAAGGCTAGACGCTTTTATTTCATGGGAATAGAAATTACCGTGTATCCTGGCCCAACAGCACTAAACACTCCTTTTTCCTTCCCCAAAAGGGACACACAATGCATCTACTATATCAGTTCTCAACCTTTTGCACCTTGCATCCCACCAACCATTTTGTAAAAGACAAACAACAACACAGAAAACCCTAGTTTCCCCCCCCCATAATAAAAACAAAACCCTGCTGTCCGAGATATCTGTTGATTCATCCATTTGAGGTGCAAATAACTTTGATTTTTTTCAATCGGGCAAGGAGTTAAAGTCCCACATACACAGGCTTCACATCCCACCAGTGGGACATGCTCCACTGGTTGAGAAATACTAGCCTATATAGCTGCTGGAGGGATCCAGGCCTACCTAGCTTTAAGGTACTTCCCAAAGCAGTGGGAAGAGGTCAGAGACGACCTCTTAGGTAGAGAAAGCAGGCAGAGGTATGCCCCCTCTCCCGCTAACGCAGCTGCTCCTTTACTCCCGGGTCTTTTCAGGGGATTCAAAGTTGAGACCAATCGATCACTCGAGACTCGACTGCACCACCTTTCCCGGCAAACAGCACGGGCAGCCACGCTAGAGGCCGATCGAGGATGTGGCGCTCGACACCGTCACCTTGTAGCCAGGGCTGCGTATGAGCGCCGCCATCTTCGATTAGACTCCTGGTGGTCCTGAGTCCCGTTCCCTTTCCGAAAGCACCAGGAGGAAAAATGACCGAGACCATCAAGCGCTACAGGGAACCGAATCATTTCCCGCCAGGCCCTCACTTATTAGGAGCTGGTACCTACCGCGCATGCGCTTCAAGGCTCTCCAGCCCAATGGGCTTTGTATTGGCGCATGCGCACCTTTGTGAACAGACAAACTACTGCATACGCGCCTTAAGCCGTTCCTTTCAAATGGCCTTTGCCTTGGTGCATTCGCGCCTCTGAGTGCAGCTGTCAGCTACTACGCATGCGCTGTAAGCCTTCCAGCCTAATGGCCTTTGTATTGACGCATGCGCACCTCTGGATAGGGCCAGTTACTGTGCATGTGCCTTAATCCTTTCCCTCCCAATGGTCTTTGCTTTGGAGTTGAGGGAGGTGGCAGCTTCTGCGCATGCGCCTGCCGAGCGGAGGGTGGGGCAGCAAAGGGACCCTCGGGCCCGAGGGGAGCTGCGGGCCTTTGCCGCCTTCAGCGCATGCGCAACGCTGAGTCGCCCTGTACCGCCCTTCCTCGCTCCATGGGACGCGCGCTGTTGTTTTCTCCTTGCAGGAGGGGGTGGGAGCAGGTGGGGGCGGAGAGAAAAGAAGAAGATGCCGGGGAAGCTGAAGGTCAAGATCGTGGCGGGACGTCATTTGCCAGTGATGGACCGAGCCAGTGACCTGACGGACGCCTTCGTGGAGGTTGGAGGGCGGGGGGAGCCCTGCGGGGGGGTCTTGAGTCACGAGCCCGGCGGCGGCGGCGCGCGGACACCTGCCGTGGTTGCGAGCGCTGTGACGTCAGCGCCCGCGAGTTGCCCCGGCCGGAGCGGCCATTGGGACCTGCCCCCCCCCCGCGCTGTGAGGCAGGACCCAGCCTCGGGCTTGAGAGGGGGAGAGGGGCAGCGGGGACAGCTGCTGCAGGCCACCGCCCTGCGTTGGGGCCCGTTCTTGTTGAGAGGCAGCCACGCAGGCCAGCCTGTCATTGCACTTAGCTTTTTCATCCTGCCACAGCAAGGGTTCTCAGGGGTGGCACTTTGGGACCAAGCGCACGCTGGGACAGATCCGGCCAAGCTCCGTGGGAGCAGGGGGCTGCCATGCCCTAGAGCTTGCTGGCGCCTATCCCAACCATGCACTTGGTCCCATCAAAGCCCCCCTCTCCTCCTGAGGATTTTTGCTTGTGGCAGGATGAAAAACACCCAGTGAGGATGACAGGCTGGCCCATGTGGCCGCCTCTCAACAAGAAGGGGCCCTTTATGTCCCCTGACCTGGGCGAGTTCTTGCTTCTCAGGTGTCGCAGTATCATAGAAAATGAGGGTTGGGTGGGACTTTGCAAAGTCATCAAGTGGAGCCTTTCTCAACCCAAAAGTGGGTTGCAAGAATAGATGCAAGGGTGGTGAGCAAACTTTAAAAATAGATCAACAGACTTTAAAAATGGGTTCTCCCTTTAAAGGAGAAAAATGTGGGAAGCCATGGCTTTTTCCCTTGTAGGGTGGCAGAGCCCCACACCCTACACACCTACCCCCACCCCCACACACTGTGGACCTGGGGGCAGTGGGTCAGGAGCGAGTGGCTTGGGGTCAGGACTGGCCATCAGTCTTTACAGGCGGGTCCTGATACAAAAAAGGCTGAGAACCACTGATCTAGTTTAACTCCCAATCTTCTGGACCGTCATGGCCACTGCATCACCTCAGCATTATCTTTTTTAAACACGTTAGTCAGCATTTAGTGGCTATTTGGGCTTTCTGTTGTTTTTTAAAAGCATCTGCAGACGTGGGGGGCATTTGTTGTCTTTATTCAGAGCAGTGCAGTTTTTCTGTTCCAGAATTGGAGATTTCTAATTGTTGTTTATGTGAAATGATACAACAACCTGCGGTTCAGGGGTCAAATGTTTCAAAAATCAAAAAGACTATTCCCCCCCCCCCC